TTAAGTAGCTTTTTTTGTGAATTGCAAAATGTTTTTTGAAAAACGGTATTTTACTGCAAAAGTTAAAAAGGAAAATACCGCTTTATGAATGGAGCGCAATGTTTTTATTATAGATATTTCAGCTAAAACATCACAGATAATCATAAAAACTCCAGATGTATGTTTCTGGTTATGTCCTAAACTAGTCTAAGCGTTTTGGTCCGCTTCTTCAGGACTATAACTGTACCGAAAAAATCTACCCATTCTTGTCCAAATCGCATGCTATTAATATTTACGGTGCAACTTGCATCCATACATTTTGTATTAACACAAATCGCACCGCAAAGTATCTGGTTCAGGTATCAGGAGCATTTTCACGAGTAAAAGTACTTGTGAAAATATTTGGTATTTGGCACCAATACTAGTATCGGTGCATCCTTAATAAGTGAGACTTCAGGCAAACAGATAAATGTACAGTTGAAATAAAAAATGTTTTTTACAGCATTGGCCTTTCTTGTACCCTATATAACTTGAGGATTTTTTGCTGTTACTTCTATTACTGTTGTAGCTGTGATACTGGTTTGTAAATCTTTCTGCTATATGCACCTCGCCCAGTTGGCTCATGATGTAACTATTGATAAGTCCGTTCTCATTACAAATGGAGGGTTTTTTTCACCCATGGTTTCCTGTATATCTGGGAAAATCTTTTGTTTTTGGCTTGATATTTTTTCTTTTCTTTGTTTTTACCCTTTTTTTGTGTTTTGTATATATTCGGTACCTTTGTTTAAACGAGATGCATCTGAAATATCAATTCTGAGTTTTAAAGTCAGAATTCTGAGTTTTAAACTCAGAACTCTGAGATTACAAGTTTGGGCCATCCTAAAATGTATTAAAGACAAGGGCTCTTCCATAGTATCTGATACACATCCTGTGTAAATTTCTTTAAAATCAATAAAACCAAAGTGAAAGAAATACATATATAAGACCTGTCTAAGGCTGCGTTCACAACTGAGTGTCGTATTTTTGTGTGGCTTTATTTTTTTTGTTTGTTGAGCGTTTTTGTACAGCGTTTTACAAGCATCTTGGAGCTTTGGAATTTTTGTATTAGCCAATAAAGAAAACTATCATCAATTACATTATTATTATTATATATCGTATTTATATAGCGCTAAAAGGTTTGCTCAGCACTGTACATTATAGTGGGGGACAGTATATGAGACAATACAGTAACAATACAATACATGAGGGGTTCGAGAGGGCCCTGCTCTTTCAAGCTTACAGTCTAGGAGGGAGGGGGTAGAGGTACAGGAGAAAGTGGATGGGGGATGGAGTGGTAGGAGGAGTGGAGGAGATCGGCTGTTAGGTGAGGGTGGGGTAGGCTTCCCTGAAGAGACGGGTTTTCAGGGTGCGCCTAAAGGTGAGGAGGGTAGGTGACAGTCTGATGGATTGGGGTAGTGAGTTCCAGAGGATGGGGGAAGTCCTGGAGAAGTCCTGCAGTCGGGCGTGGGAGGTGGAGACCAGGGAGCTAGAAAGTAGGAGGTCTTGTGAGGAGCGAAGAGTACATGTTGGGTGGTATTTAGGTATCATGTCGGTGAGGTAGTTTGGGGCAGCGTTATGAATGGCTTTGTATGTCTGTGTAAGTAGTTTGAATTTAATGCGTTGGGCAATCGGGAGCCAGTGGAGGGAATGACAGAGGGGGGGTGGCAGAAGCAGAGCGGTTGGTGAGGTGGATGAGTCTGGCCACTGAGTTCAGGGTAGACTGAAGCGGGGATAGTCTGCAATGAGGTAGGCCGGTGAGGAGGGAGTTGCAGTAGTCCAGACGTGAAATAATGAGGGAGTAAACGAGTTGTTTAGTAGTGTCTGGGGTTAGGAACGAACGTATTTTGGAGATGTTGCGGAGGTGGAGCCTGCATGAGTTTGCCAACGAGTGAACATGGGGTTGGAAGGACAAGTCTGAGTCTAGAGTGACACCTAGGACTTTGGCTTGCGAGGTGGGACTGATGGTGGCGTTGTTGGTGATGGAGAGGGAGAGGGGGGGGGGGGCACGGGCTGGGGGGAAAATCAGGAGCTCGGTTTTGGAAAGGTTCAATTTGAGGAAATGGAGCGACATCCAGTCTGATATGTCGTTCAGTAGGTGGGTGATACGGGCGGAGACTGAAGGGGTGAGGCGAGTGGTGGAGAGGTAAATTTGCATGTCATCGGCGAATGTAATCGACAAATTACATAATTTGTTACTATGTGTTTCTGCTTTAAGCTGCTTCAGAAGCGCACCAATCTGCCCAATTCAAGCTAACTCTAAAACTTTTTCAAGCTTCGGGCATTTGGCTTTAGGTGACTTGGACTGGAGATGTGAACCACCTCCACACATAATAACTGATTTTTTTTCTCCCTGAGGGTTTTGGAGCTTCGAGCTACAAAACGTTCAGGTGTGTATAGGGCCCTACCCAGGAACATGTATTTCTTTCTAGCCTTGCAATTTAACACTATCCGACCAAACAATGTAGCTATGCTGTTGATCTGACTTTTCTATTTTACAGTTAAGCAATACATTTAGGTCACCTTCCCACCCCAAAACCAGATCATAGTGCAATGGTCAGTGGGAAGAATGCTCCTTAAAATTGTGGTCGCTGGGAAGACTCCTCGCCTTAAAGATAGCTAAAAAGATCATAGGCTGTTGTGGTTCTTTATCTGAGAGACAGAAATTGCTCATTGCTCAAGGAATCCCTAGCAACTTCTGAAGGAAACCTAGCTGAGAAAGGTTGATCTAGACCAGGGTATTGAATTAAAATTCAAGGAGGTCTGGTCACTAAAATCGGTTTATGGCCGAGGTCTGAAAATAAATGTCCCCATTGGTGTTTCCCCTTACATCAGGTTCCCCCTTCAGAGTAATTTATTACATTGGTTGCCACCACCAGACTTCACCCATAAATCAGTTGCCACCATCAGAGTACTCCACTATATCAGGTGTTCCTTTCAGTGTGCCCCCTTAAGTAATGTGTTTCCATCAGCGTGCCCCCATACATCAGGCATTTCCATCAGAGTGCCCCTTACATTGGGAATTCCAATCAGAGTGCCCCCTTACATCAGGCATTTCCATCACAGTGCCCCCTTACATCAGGTATTCCCATTAAAGTGCCCCCTTACATCTGGTTTCTGCATCAGAAGGCCCCCTTACACTTGGTGTCTCCCATCAGTGTGCCCCCTTACATCAGTTGACCCCATTAGAGTGCTCCATTATATAAGGTTCCCCCATCACAGTGACACCTTACGTAGGGTGTGGCAAGCAGCGTGCCCCCTTACATTAGGTGTCGCCATCAGAGTGCAACTTTACATCAAGTATCCCTATCTTATCAGATGTGCCCATCAGAGTGCTCCTTTACATCAGTTGTCCCCATCAGAGTACCCCTTTACATCAGGTATCCCCCACACAGTGCCACCTTACATCAGGTATGCCCGTCAGAGTGCTCCCGTACACTCGAAGTACTCCTTTCCACATTTCCCCATCAGAGTGCCTCTTTCCATCACATGTGCCCATCAGTGTGCCCCTTTCCACAGTATGTGCCCCCTTAACATAACATGTTCCCATCAGAGTGCCCCCTTAACATAAAAGATTCCCATCAGAGTGCCCCTTAACATAAAATGTGCCCATCTGAGTGACTGTTAACGTACATTGTGCCCATCAGAGTGCCCCTTAACATAAAATAAGGGGCATGCTGATGGGCAAATTTTATGTTAAGGGGCACTCTGATGGGCACATTTTATGTTAAAGGGCACTCTGATGGGCACATTTTATGTTAAGGGACATTCTGATGGGCATGTTTTATTCTAAGTGGGCACTCTGATAGGCACATTCTATGTTGTGCCCATCACAATGCCCCTTAACATTAAATGTGGCCATCAGCATTAAACTTTATCATTAAATGTGCCCATCAGAGTGCCCCTTAATATAAGAGTGCCCGTGAAAGAGCACACCCTACCTTGAGGGCAGACAGGAGCGTGAGAGCAGGAGCTTGCCGGGATAACTGTTGATGGGGGAGGGTACACACTTGTGGACAGGCAGGGAGCGGGAGTTAGGAGAGACAGTGAGCTGCAAGGAGCAGGGCGCATGCGTGATGTCATTGGTTGCTGGGGACGACCGCCCTGCTGAGCGGATCTGTCATTCTAGTCTGGTGGACTGGAGGTCCGGGCGGGAGAGCCATTTAGTGACCGCTGATCTAGACCAGCCTTTCTCAACCTTTTCAAAGCAGAGGAACCCTTGACATAACTTTCTGGTCTCAGGGGAACCCCTGCTAAAAATGGCTTTATCTACAATTCATGATACATTAGTGTGATAGTCAGAGGTAAGAACACTCCTTACACTTGTGGTCATTGGGAGGAATTACCCCCTTACAAATTGCTAAAAAGATCAATGGTGGCAGTGGGAACTTTCCGGAGAGACAAACATTGCTCATTGCTCAAGGAACCCCTGGCAACCTCTGGAGGAACCCTAGGGTTTCACAGAATCCTGGCTGAGAAATCCTGATCTAGACAAGCTACATTTCATTTTGTTTTAAGTAAAATACATAATTGCATTTTTTGTGTTTTATTATATCTGCCTGGAGTTCAGATTTAATTTGACACACACATTGGGAAAAGATGTCCTTTCCCCTTAATAAATCTAATTTTCTCTTTTTTTTTTCAGGAGTCCGTTTTAAACTTTCATCCCTGCAGCATTGTGTGACCCTCTTCATCGCTCCTTTAACCTCCTTGTTCCTTAGACTGTATATAAATGGGTTGAACATTGGTGTGATGACACTATAGACCACACTGATGACCGATCATAGGTTACAGAATAGAGGGAACTTGGACGAAAGTACATGAATATGATGGAGCTGTAGAATAAGATGACCACGGTTAAGTGAGAGGAACAAGTGGAGAAGGTCCGTATTCTACCTTTGGAGGTTCGTAGTTTCATAATGTCTTTTATGATGAGAATGTAGGAGCCCAGGATAAACAACATGGGCCCATGACAATTAAGGACCCCTCAATGAAAACAGTCATTTGCTGGGCATAAGTGTCTTTGCAAGACAGCAGCAACATGGCCGGAACATCACAAAAATAGTGATGGATAACCCAATTGCAATAGGGAAGAGTAGATGTCATGGCGGTGAACAGGGTGGAATGTAAAGTAACAACAGCCCACGAAGAAGTTACCAAACTGATGCATGTCCTATTGCTCATGATGGTTGTGTAATGCAAGGGTTGGCAAACAGCAGCATACCGATCCAAGGCCATGATGGCCAGTAGAAAGCTGTCCATATTACCAACTGCATGGAAGAGGAAGAGCTGCAAAAAACAACCATGAAATGAGATGGTCTTATTTTGAGTTAGGAGACTACAAAGAGCCCGAGGGATGGTGATAGAGGTCATGCAAATATCAACAACAGAAAGGTTTCCCAGCAAGAAGTACATTGGAGTGCGGAGCTGAGACTGGGTCAAGATGAGCATGAAAATAAGACAGTTGCCCAAAACACAGAGAGTGTAAGCTACCATAAAGAAGGAGAAGAGAGGCAGTCTAAGGTGTGGTTTCTCTGAGAGGCCCAGCAGAGTGAACCCCCTGACAGTTTGATTCTTCAAATCCATATTTAACAAAAAAGGATTATTATTTAATTTATTAATTTATGGCTTTTCCCAGCAGTAGCGAGAAAGTGTAACACAAAGCACAGACACAATTTGCCATAAGTTAAATCAAAGGTTTTAAAAACAGTACCCATAGTCTTCATGCTTGAAAATGGCTGCACAATTAATAGAAATCAGATCAGTAGAATTAATGGCCTAGTGATAATGTAAAAAAAAACCCTTAAAAACATAATACTCCTCTATGAAAAAAGATCTTGTAGACTTTGGATAACAGACTATTGTTTTACATACAGGTGAAACTTGAAAAATTAGAATATCGTGCAAAAGTTCATTTATTTCAGTAGCAACTTAAAAGGTGAAACTAATATATGAGATAGACTCATTACATACAAAGCAAGATAGTTCAAGCCGTGATTTGTCATCATTGTGATGATTATGGCTTACAGCTCATGAAAACCCCAAATCCACAATCTCAGAAAATTATATTATTACATGCAATCAATAAAACAGGGATTGTACATAGAACAATATCGGACCTCTGAAAAGTATAAGCATGCATATGTACTCAGTACTTGGTTTGGGCCCCTTTTGCAGCAAATACTGCCTCAATGCAGCGTGGCATGGAAGCTATCAGCCTGTGGCACCGCTGAGGTGTTATGGAAGATCAGGATGCTTCAATAGCAGCCTTCAGCTCTTCTGCATTGTTCGGTCTCATGTCTCTCATCTTTCTCTTGGCAATGCCCCATAGATTCTCTATGGGGTTCAGGTCAGGCGAGTTTGCTGGACAATCAAGCACAGTAATCCCACGGTCATTGAACCAGGTTTTGGTGCTTTTGGCAGTGTGGGCAGGTGCCAAGTCCTGCTGGAAAATGAAGTCAGCATCCCCATAAAGCTTGTCTGTGGAAGGAAGCATGAAGTGCTCCAAAATCTCCTGGTAGATGGCTGCGTTGACCCTGGACTTAATGAAGCACAGTGGGCCAACACCAGCAGATGACATGGCTCCCCAAATCAACACAGACTGTGGAAACTTCACACTGGACTTCAAGCATCTTGCAGTGTGTGCCTCTCCATTCTTCCTCCATACTCGGGGTCCTTGGTTTCCAAATGAGATGCAAAAAGTTGCTCTCATCAGAAAAGAGGACTTTGAACCAATGAGCAACAGACCAGGTCTGTTTTTCTTTAGTCCAGGTAAGACAATTCTGACGTTGTTTGTTGTTCAGGAGCGGCTTGACAAGAGGAATACAACATTTGAAGCCCATGTCCAGGATCCGTCTGTGTGTGGTGGCTCTTGATGCACTGACTCCAGCCTCAGTCCACTCCTTGTGAAAGTCCCCAACACTTTTGAATGGCCTTTTCCTGACAATCCTCTCCAGGCTGCGGTCATCCCTGCTGCTTGTGCACCTTTTTCTTCCACACTTTTCCCTTCCACATAACTTTCTATTAATGTGCTTTGATACAGCACTTTGGGAACATCCAACTTCTTTTGCAATTACCTTTTGAGGCTTTCCCTCCTTATGGAGGGTGTCAATGATGGTTTTCTGCACAACTGTCAGGTCAGCAGTCTTTACCATGATTGTGATTCCTACTGAACCAGACTGAGAGACCATTTCAAGGCTCAGGAACCCTTTGCAGGTGTTATGGCTTAATTAGCTGATTAGAGTGGGACACTTTGAGCCAAGAATATTGCACCTTTTCACAATATTCTCATTTTCTGAGATTGTGGATTTGGGGTTTTCATGAGCTGTAAGCCATAATCATCACACATTATGACAAATCACGGCTTGAACTATCTTGCTTTGCATGTAATGAGTCTATCTCATATATTAGTTTCACCTTTTAAGTTGCATTACTGAAATAAATGAACTTTTGCAAGATATTCTAATTTTTCGAGTTTCACCTGTATGTAACTAAAACAGTACTTAAAGTGTATCTAAACCCAAAAACAAAAATTTAATATATTGCAGCGTACCATTCCTTGTGTGGTTGCATTATTTTTCTTCTTTTAAGGCCAAGGACATTTTCTGCAAGTATAGAAAAATACCTGTTGGTCCTGCCAAAATATTCCAGCTTTCTTATAAGTTCCTGTGCATTAAATTGAAATCTCAGTGTCATTAGCTCTCATCAGTTCTTTTCTGTGATCTACACGTTCCCCTATGGAGATGAGGAGAGGGTTGGGTGTTCTGAAATCCTATCCTAGGGTGACAACTCTACTCCTACATAGATACTAAAACTAAATAAAAAATTGGTCATATCTAGGTTCAATAAATTAAAAAGACGCGAATGGACATACAAGGATGCAGCACTCAGAAAAATATCTGAATACAGAACAAACCTAGAAGAGTGCAAAATAGTGTTATACTTCCCATTTAAATATCACTATATTGCCAAAAGTATTGGTCGGCCGGCCTTTCCACGCACATGAACTTTAATGGCATCCCAGTCTCAGTCCGTAAGGTTCAATATTGAGTTGTCCTACCCTTTTGCAGCTATAACAGCTTCAACTCTTCTGGGAAGGCCGTCCACAAGGTTTAGGAGTGTGTCTATGGGAAGGTTGGACCATTCTTTCAGAAGCGCATTTGTGAGGTCAGACACTGATGTCGAACAAGAAGGCCTGGCTCGCAGTCTCTGCTCTAATTCATCCCAAAGGTGTTTTATGGGGTTGAGGTCAGGACTCTGTGCAGGCCAGTCAAGTTCCTCCACCCCAAACTGTCTCAACCATGTCTGTATGGACCTTGCTTTGTGCACTGGTGTGCAGTCATGTTGGAACAGGAAGGGGCCATCCCCAAACGTCCCACACAGTTAGGAGCATGAAATTGTCCAAAATGTCTTGGTATGCTGACGCCTTAAGAGTTCCCTTCTCTGGAACTAGGGGGCCAAGTCCAAACCCTGAAAAACAACCGCACACCATAATCCCCCCTCCACCAAACTTTACACTTTGCACAAGGCAGTCAGGCAAGTACCGTTCTCCTGGTAACCGCCAAACTCAGACATGTCCAGCGGATTAGCAGATAGAGAAATATGATTTGTCACCCCAAAGAACACGTGTCCACTGTTCTAGAGTACAATGCTTTACACCATTGCATCCGACGCTTTGCATTGCACTTGGTGATGTAAGGCTTAGATGCAGCTGCTCTTCCATGAAAACCCATTCAATGAAGTTCTCCATGCACTGTTGTTGTGCTAATCTGAAGGCCTCACAAAGTTTGGAGGTCTTTAGCTATTGACTCTGCAGACAGTTGGCGACTTCTGCGCACTGTGCGCTTCAGCATGTGCTGACCCCGCTCTGTCATTTTACATGGGCCTACCACTTGGTGGCTGAGTTGCTGTTGTTCCCAGTTCCTACCACTTTGTTATAATACCCTTAACAGTTGACGGTGGAATATTTAGTAGCAAGGAAATTTAACGGGTGGATTATTGCATTGCACAAGTCACACAAAGCAACCGGCAAAACCTATCACGGAGTTACCACCAGCTTAGGAGTCACTGAGCTCCTCAGAGCGACCCAGTTCCTTCTTTCACAAATGTTGACGGTGGAAAAGCAGTCTGCATGTACTGAAATGTATTGTAATTGTACTATCCTCAGAGCGATTCTTTCATATTGTAAAAGCAGTCTGCATGTGTAAAAACTGTGTGAAAACTGTTGCACTATATAAATCCTGTATAATAATTTACAGTATACTGGACATTGTATCATGTCTGTCACACAAATCAACCAATTGTTTCAAACCAATGTGCTGTAATGGTTACCTCTATATGAGTGGCCAGGGAATATAGTTTAGTGTAGCATCTCCTATAGCAGTCCCAGTTTCTATATTCCAAGGAAGCTTAGCTTACAGGTAGGTGACTGCCCCCAGGAATTACATGTTCAGTAACCAAAAGTACTGGAGACTGAAGAAAGAAAGAATAAAGAGGTCCTGTTGTTCCAGTCATGTAGTTGTCCGCAGGGGATGACTGTGACTGTTGTATCACGGAACTCTTAAGGCGTCAGCATACCAAGACATTTTGGACAATTTCATGCTCCCAATTTTGTGGGAATAGTTTGGGGATGGCCCCTTCCTGTTCCAACATGACTGCGCACCAGTGCATAAAGCAAGGTCCATAAAGACATGGATGAACAAGTTTGGGATGAAAGAACTTGACTGGCCTGCACAGTGTCCTGACCTCAACTCAATAGAACACCTTTGGGATGAATTAGAGCGGAGACTACGAGCCAGGCCTTCTTGTCCAACATCAGTGCCTGACCTCACAAATGTGCTTCTGGAAGAATGGTCAAACATTCCCATAGACACCCTCCTAAACCTTGTGGACGGCCTTCCCAGAAGAGTTGAAGCTGTTATAGCGGCAAAGAGCGGGCCGACTCAATATTGAACCCTACAGACTAAGACTGGGATGCCTTTAAAGTTCATGTGCGTAAAGGCAGGCATCCCGATGCTTTTGGCAACATAGTGTATGTGGTATTGCCATATTCAGGAGGATTAGTAGAATGTGCTTTGAGGTGATTTCTAAGTATGCCTATGCTGCGTGAGAAATACAGTATATTATATATTAAAACTTGTGGCAAAATAATGACATCTTCAAAAGACTCACCATGCTTCTTAGAAACTACTTTGGGGTGTTTGCTTTCCAAAATGTGTTCATTTTTGTGGGTGTTTTCACTGTCCTGGTGCTCCAAGGCCTCTAAAAATGTGATAGGTAGTCAGGAAATTAGAGGTGTAATTTATGCCCCTAGAACAGCCTTTTTCAACCAGGGTGCCCAGGCACCCTGGGGTTCCTTCAGGCTTCTTCACGTGTGCATTGGAAAAATGCCTAGAAATTGTCCAAAAATGTATACAAGCCAGCAGGTGGATCAATCCTGCCTTTTAGTACATAAAGCCACAGATTTCATTGTGCATTTCTATGACTTTCTAACTGCC